GGGACTATAAGGAGCGGCTCCAGTTTGTTGGGACATTGTCCTGCTCCCGTAGCCTTAAGAATCACAAGCCTGCGTTGTAAGCCTAGGTCGCGGGTTCTAGCCTGCGTAAGGACTGGGCGACCATTGCAGTACCATCAGCTCGCGTGCGACGTGGTGGTTGCGTGGCAGCGAAGTCTCGGTACTGCGTACAGGCATGCTGCTGATGTCTCATAGTTTTACAAGTTAGTTGTGCAAATCATCTACGAGAGCAGGTCCCCGGAAATATGTCTGCTTCTGTGGCCTTGTTCAGTTTCCACAGTTTGATCTCACATTCGACGTCTGCGCGTGAAGTCGGATCCAAGTGCCCATGGAAAATGGCGGTCACTGGTCGATACGGAAGCTGGTTACTGGCTGATTAAACTGCTTGTTAAAGTTTTCGGCCTAACGCTTCAAGCGTTTTGACAGACTATTAATTGGCTATACTCTATCTTCGCATATAGTGTCACACCAGGTCTCCTGATGCCCGGTTCCCCTATCAGACGGGATAACTTACGATGGTCACCAAGGGCATCATCCATTTCCATCTCAGATGAACAGTGAGACCACCACGATTCGCTGCCTATCTTCAGGCTAGCACGCAGTTTTGCCCTAACTTTTCAGTGAGCATCCTGAAGTCCCATAAACTTTGTAGCGGCCCAATGTCCAGGTTTACATTTACATTTGCTATATGAAGGCAGACCTGCTGCTAATAACGTTTAATGGATATGCGATCAGTGATCCTCAACTGTTTAGGTGAGCACTTACTCAGCCAGGATGTCAGTGTACATTGATACGCATTCAGGTACAATGCAGCAGTACGTTCGACCCTACTGTACGGTTGTGAAACCTGGCCGCTTAAAGCAGCGGACTTGAAGAGGCTAGTTACGTTCGACCACCGGTGCCTTCGTACTTTAGTTCGCATCTGGTGGGAACATCGCGTGAGCAACGAGCGTGTTCGACGCCTTGTTTACGGCACAGGAAAAGGAAATGAACCGCTCAGCCCCGTTATTTCACGCATCAGGCTCCGATGGCTGGGCCACGTGTTGCGCATGCCAGCCCACCAACTCCCGCGACGTGTGTTGTTTGCTCACCATGTAGATGGAAGAAGAGGAGGGGTGGCCAAGCGATGACTTGTTCGAGAGGAATGAAGGCCCTCACTTTGGAGATGGCCTCGGTTGGAGCGTCACGGCTCCCTGGTTGGGGTCCAAAAGAAGATGAACACGTTTGGATGGACACACTTGCTGACATGGCAAGGAGCCGACCTCAGTGGCGTTGGTGTTGTGAGTTTCTTTGTCCCACCCCATCCCTCTTAGCCTCCCCCTCCAACCACGATCTCATTATTTAGCCTTATATCCTTTTGCACAGTAATTTTTTTGATGCACAGTAGCCGGCTGGTAGCTTACCGTAACGATACCCATCCGTTGCTGGTAGCTCAGCCGGCTTGCACCAGTTGCATTTTTTCTCTTTTTTTCTTTTAGGTATTGCGGCACAGTAGCTGAGGCGTTCCCCACCTCTAACTAACGTATGTGATGATGATGATGATACGCATTCAGAACAACTGACTTCTCCAGTTAGCTGGTGTCCATACGGTCACTACGGAAGCGAACTCGGAGATCAGTACATATAGGTGCGTGGTCGGAGCCTACACTGGTGCTCCAAATCGAGTGACGGTTTTGGACACAGCCTCTCCAACGGTAACTTTGCGATGTGCTCGATGTGCGCCCATGGCTAGTTCGTGGCTGATGGGCGTCATGTCACGCTTCTGCAGGTGCTGTGTCGGAAGTTAGTGCTCGAGGGAAGTTGACGAGCGTCTTTACACAGATGTAGCAACTACTCACCGTTATCCTTACGGGAGCCTGCACTGGGTTGACACCCTAAATGAAGCCCATTACTGGACAGGTTTCAAAGTTGGGCGTTCAGATTACCAACAAACCCCACAGCGTCCGTACTTATTCCGTAACGAATGCTCTCGTCCACTCGGTGGTAGAAATCATTTACCGCGTCGGAGCTACAGTTTTCCGGGACATATGACGCCCTAACTAACGGATCTATTGGATTTGTGCGACTTCGAAAATCTGAGCGCGACAGCTTATCTGATAGCACACATTTGGCTTTTGATTGGGATCCAATCGATCAGGGCTGATTCACTTCGGGGACTTATTGCAGTGCCCATACTGGCTTGATCGGTATCTTATCTCTGGATAGACGTAGTATCACATGAAGGGGATCGTAGGATGAGCACAGACGTCTTGCAGGGGGTTCCCGGTAAGCTGCAGATATTGCTCGATAGGATCTCTAGTGTTAGGGAAGTGCTGCGTGTTGTTCGAGCTCTCCGGCACTGTCAACACACGGAAGGTGAAAAGACAAACAAGTACTGCTAAGAAGTATCTCAGAGTAGGGAAATCCGGAGAGATTGAGCTTAATGCAGTGGAAAGTAAGTAGCGTCACACTCCAGAGTAGGATCACTGACGAGCTGCGATGGAGGAAAGGACAGTTGCAGTTAATAAACATAACTGTCAACAAAAGGGATGAATTCGTCTTAAAGCAGCCCTCCTAACAAGGGGAATAAGAAGATGGGCATGCCTGAGCTGTAGCATCCTCACCCGTATTCCCTCTGCTCGATGTAGCAGAAAGGGTGCCGTTGGTTATCCTCTGCGACGGCCAGTGTATCAGGAAATTGACAGTTGTAGGCTATTGTACTGTATGCGCATGGTGGCATCACGTTGCCTCAGGCTTAGACACCATAATGATTAAGAGTTATCAAGCAGTCTTTGGTTCAAAAGCTTGACCACAAGGCAGTAGGGTTTTGGTACTGTGCTACAGAGAGTCTGTTTTATGGTGTGAGGAGCCACTCTCACTGCAACATGGAGAGTGAAAAGTCTGAGTTATTTTGGCCTCTGATGATTGCTTAATCTGTTATGAGCGGCACTGAAGGTGTTCTGCTGATTGTTGTACCACCCAGTATAACTCAATGGATCGCTGATGCATGCAAATCATCGCATCACGTCAAGGTCAAAGCTCGTCGCGATGGATGCGACTATTCACTGTGATCCCTTTGAATATGTTTCTTTTGGCATTTTTCTGGGATAAACAGCCGACTCGTGGCCTAAAGCATCACAAATCTGCCTTGTACTACGTGGTCGCGAGTTCCAGCCTGTGTAAGGGACCAGGGGGTCCTCGCAGTATCCTTAGCTCATACGCGACTGTGGGTGGTTACACGGCAGCGAGACGTAGATAATGCGTACCGGCGTCACGTTCGACCATCGCTACCTTCGCAGCTTAGCTCATGTCTGGTGGGAGCACTGCGTGAGCTATGAGCATGTTCGGCGCCACGTATTCGGTGCAGGGAGAGATAGTGAACCGCTCAGCACCATTATAACACGCACCAGGCTCCGATAGCTGAGCCACGTGTTGCGTATGCGAGCACACTGATTCCCGTGACGTGCATCGTTTGCGCACCGGGGGTGCGGTTAGAAGCGGAGGACGGGAGGCCAAGCGATGATTTGGTCGAGAGAAATGAATAATGTCACTTTGAAGTTGGCGTCGGTTGGTGCATCCCGACTGCCTGACAATGAACACGTTTTGTTGGATACACTTGCTGATATAACGAACAGCCGGCTCCAGTGGCGTTTGCATTGTGAGTTTCTTTGTCTCTCATCTCCCGCTTACTCTCCCCCTCCCACTACAATCTCAATTATTAGAGGTAATATAACTACTTTACGGCACAATATCCGGCTGTTAGTTCTCCGGAACGATGTCCATCCGTTACTGGTGACTCAGCTGACTTGCCTCTGTTTCCTTTTTCTCTTTCCTTTTGTATTGCGGCGCAGTAGCTGAGGTGTTTTCCACCTGCAGCTAACGTGTATACTGAAGAATGATGATGATACTGCTGATATCTCTGGGAAAAACGCGTGCACCTTGCATATCTCTATCTATCGAGTCTTTATCGCCGGAGATCGGAAGAGCATTGTAGTATGTCTGCTTGAGCGGATTCATGTAAGTCGGGATCATTCATGCTCTTATCAACGAAGTTTAATATTGAGAAGAGTTTAGGCTTCACTGATGTACCCTCTTTTTCGTTCTTGCCTCTAGAACAAAATTCCTGCTCCTTCCCGCTTCACTTTGACCCCCTTATTACGATTAGTCGTTCCTTTCTCGTCTTTCTGGCCTCGCTTTTCTCAGCTGTACTGCACATCGTTATTCTGTTGCCCTTTTCCATGATCTGCCATAACCCTTGTTCGTTCCATCCTCGTTGAGTCTATCATTGGTCGCCCATAACCCATTCGATACGCTTATCTTGCTTGTCTCTGTGTATTTTGGCTTCTGAGGCCGTTTTTCCACTCGATCTCTTTCCTTTGGCTGTTTTATGTCTAACCATCTTTGCGTATGCATGGTTAAGTTTGAGTGCGGTGTCTAAACAGCTTCTCCTCTTCTGATGTGTAAGGCATAAGAGACTCGACTGATATCTCACTGTCTCGTATGATCGTAGCTTTGAGAAGTCACACGCATACCCCAGGTTATTTAGTCACCATGTTGCCACCGATATGACTGAATTGACTCATAGGTTCGAAGAGTTGCTAACAACTTGTCAGCATTCTGGTGCTATCTCCATTAGCAAATTTCGCAGCTGTTGTAAAGTGCTTCAACGGACCGTTAAAAAGATTGTCGTCCACGTATTCTATCTTACTCAGAAGGATCAATTTACTCGTAGTTCCAGATTTAACTATGAATGGCGAAATCATGCAGCCATTGCAAGCCTCATGCATAATATGAACCTCGCGCATCTCGCTTGGCCCTAATAATCACATTGCCGCATGCTAGAAAAACCGGAAACCTTAACGGCATATTCTTTGACCCAAGGTATCGCCACACACAAGTATCCGTTCATAACGCTTATTTTGTCAGTTTTTTATTCGACGCACGTTAGTTTTTCACTTTTCACTAACTATCTTATCGTTTGTTCCCTGGTTATGCTATCTAGTCGTCAGGCATGATCCGCCTTACTATAATCCTCTTTCTGGATCAATCACTCCTGTCTACTTTTGTGGATGCACACTTCAGGGATATATATTGTGGATCCAGGACTTGCTACGATGGTAAGCATTGTCAATTTGTACTACTGTTCTTTCTTGTCTCCTGTTTGAACGATGTTAGAACCGCAAATTTTTGATTGTAACTTCGTACAGCCGTTCAGATAACATTTCATTGTGAAATGTCCCACAATTCGTTGCTGGCGTTTCGTAGAACTGAGACACGGACATGATAAGAGTGAGTTTGAAGGAATGAGGACTTCATTGAGACTATTTGGCTCATAAGTGTGGCGCAGCATTTTAAGGAACGAGATTAGCTGGTATGTTCTAATAAACAAATAGTGTTGGAAATAGCCCACTACCCGTCTAGCACGTAAGACCGATTGGTGCACGCTGCAATACCCTGAGTGACCGATCTGTGTGCCTCTGGCCGTCCCATCGAGACACATTTTGATCACAACGGTCACACAACAACTTTTCCTAACGTAAACTGGCATATGATATGAATACATTTTTCGTCGTCGCATACACGATCCGCACCCAATGGAGATCGATTCCAAAGTGTTGTAACTCACTACGGAGTAGATAAGTGTGCACAAACGTTTTGCGCAATCATTGTGACTGTAATGTGTCTTAACGGGACGGCCGGGAGTACACAGATCGCTCACTCGTGTTGACTGAATGTTCAATTTTACTAAGGGAAAGGACTTGCAGTTTGAGGCCGGTGGCATTAACGATACATTACCTCATATTCAATGTCGTTTATACATATTGCATTATTTCTGTTCTTGTGTTTCCTCTTTATAAAAGAGATTGAAAATGCCCAACTGAGCCAACTGGCTATGCAGACAGAGTACATTTCCAGCGATTACCTTTGTCAACGACATAGTTTGGCTGCTATAGACAGAAAGTAGCGACAGTCCACAGATTGCCTTGACGCTTATCAACCTGGTACAAGCATAGTCAAACTAAGTTCTCATTTGGAGGACTTCACGGCGGGGCTTTGTTTTGTCATCTTCGTTCGACATTAAAATGAGGTATCCGACGGAGGGTTTCCTGCTTTCAGCTCGGTATAATTCGTTTCGCTTGTATCATGTTGAGTGCAACTCATCTGAACGGAGGGCCGACCTCTGCTAACGCATGAGGCCAAGTTGCGAAGTAACATCTTTTCCTCCGCCGAGGAGGAGAATGACTATGTGCGTAATTCGTTTTATGGTTGGCGACATCCGGTTCCGGATTTGCTTGTCACTGTGACTCCTTAGGACAGCCACATGACGCCTGCGCCTACAGAGGAACAATGGGTGGCTTGCGCTACACCACCCACATACCCCATATCCAGTGTAAACCCGAAGGAATAACACCGGGAGGCATGTGGATGGGAGCCACGTTTCATTGACGGAGCCGACCCATACTCATTCAACATACACAGCAGCAACATTCATGTCTATCTATGCAGCGAATCATGCGTACCAGACGTACACAAGGCGGTTGCTGGACCATAGTCCGATCCACACTGGATGAAACCACTCTGAACCTAGCACGGCCACGAGGACCGTGCACCCGTTCCCCCACAGCCACGGTTCACAGTCTTCTGGAGCCAGTAATCGAGGTGGAGGGTGTTCGACAGGTAGGCACCTTGTACACGTTTACGTCAAGCGCAGCGACACGAGGGATATCAAACATCCAACATAGAATCTGAGCGAAAGCAAACACGCAAAATTGACACAAAATATGCAGCAAAAGTACAGCACTGAGCCAATCAAATTAACTGGAGTAACCTTTATACAGGTTAAAATGATTTAGTTTAAGTTTAGGTTGGTTTAGCCCAACTGCGGTGTAGACGCATCATGTATGCAACATCAACCTCAGCTTGACATTTTGGCACTACACCGGCACGTAACAATACTTCACTGCCGTGCAGACAAGGTCGCAAGTCAGTCGCAAGTAACAGCGACACGGCTGTTGATCAAGTGGTCTGTTGCAGTTGTTGATGGTGTTTATGATGCACCGCACTTTATCTACGATTGGTTCGTATTTCTGAATTTGCTCACAGCGTTTACTTAAAACCCTTGATTCCGCCAAACCAAGTAGAAGAAGATTTGTGACACTCTTCCCTTTGAGCCCTTCATCCCGACTCTCTCACTAATGCAGTTCACATAATTATTCTCACTCCTTCTGAATACACTCATGCATTATCACCTGTCGCGCCCCTGCGATGTTTGACCCTTTTGTGCCTCTTACCCTGTGACACCGTATGCCGAGCGGCTCTTGATCTCTTTCAACTTCTTATGCGTTAATTTGCGTGTAACCCATGCAGTTTTCTTGTCTAGCTACCCCGTCTCGTTGATTCACTCGTCATATAGGCACGCCTTGTTGAAGTATACTCATTTGCACGACTGCCTTTCGGAGCCTAACTTGTTGGTTCTTGGGGCGAATGGTCGATTGTCGTATTTCTGTTGACGTTGGAAACGCAATTGTTGAGGTTTGGGTTGTTTTTATTGCTGGCGTACTGTAAATAGTACTGTTATCCAGTTCCAGCCTTGTTCTTTGGTTTTCCGCCGGTGGAAACGTGTTTACTCCATTAATTTCCAAGCGATTCGACGCTTACACGAATCAGGGATGAGACACAATCAGTTAGCAGTGTAGTCTCACGATGCAGACAATGGACGCTACCATTAAGCAACTGGTTGCTTTGGATTAATCTGATGATATCACCTTACTGTTTGATTATCTCGAGGCAGCACTGCCAGCTCTTGCAGCCCCGACTGACTATGATGCCATAAGTCGGCCCGTAGCCTAGAGCTAATGGGCTTGTCTCGTAATGTTGCGGCGCCGCGGGTTCGAATCCGCGTAGGGGTGGTCGTCCTCGCGGTATACTCAGCCCGCGTGCGACTGGTGGTAGTCGCAGGGCAGCGAAGCGCCGTTACGGCGTACAGCAGACATCATTTATTACTTTATTACGATAGCATAAGTCGGTTGACAGTCTGGGAATTCGTTTCTCCGGGGCTGCCCTGTCTACTATACTGCAGCAACGTACAAGTCAATGGATAATGAGTCGCGCTACACTACATCCAGTAACTTGTCTTGTGGGTCGTCGCCGTCCGCCTCAGCCTGATGGTCTTAATCATATACTCTTGGGCATAGGATCTTGGGTTTTTTCTCCACGGTGAACGGATAGAGTGCGTACTGCTGATGAGTTCCGAAAAAATAAGCTGACTGTCTAGGGTGTGATGGCCGTCTAATTGTGCCTAGATTAGGACCGCACACTGACACTTTAAAGTGCGAAGTGCTGCTGTTACAGCGCCACGAGTTGCTTAATAACATCGTAGATTTCAACGGTGGTGACTAGAGATGATCGATCGATTTACCTCTCGTGACATCTGCATTGGCAGCGATGGCTTATGGTTATTGGTTGGTTTATTTATTATAAAGGGCAGAATCATCTTAATGAATCTGCGAAAACCCGGGTACCAGGAAGGGGATTTTCACTCTTATAGATCTTGTTCACATAACCTCATTGAAGATCATACTTCTTCGCAAACTATAGCTACTGTTTCTCTGCCCTAGATATTCCAACTTTTTACCATCGTTGCCTACCGATTATTGTTTGTGTTGAGCTTGCTACCATCCGCTTACTGCTAGAAATCCCATAGCCAAAGGGATGCAAATACAAAAAGCCCACTCGCGCCTGATTACGGTCTCAGATACAAAGTCTACCATAGTAGAAAACACATCGGTTGTCCTGAATTTGCAACTCTGCTCGAGGAAGACCTCAGAATAATGCTATTGGTACTGTGCAGTCGCATTTCCTAAGAGAACATGCTCTTCACTGCTTTGTGGGTCAGAATCGAAAGCTACCCATATGACATTGTAGCTAGTAATATTTCATCCCGTATCATTTCATCTCCTTTTTACAAATCCTCCAGCGAGAAGTGACCAGTGCTGACTTCAGTACCCATATTAGCAGAGAAGTTGAATCATTTTCTAAATCAAAGGAATCATTCCACACTAGGTCCTTCAAAGTCCGCACCCTGTATCAGTTCGGTCGACAGGTAACACGCTATTATTTTAATCTCCATCCGAGTTGATGTACGTTGTATCGCAGAAACACAGTATCTTAATACCTCTGCTTATCAAACTGCTTTTGACGACAAAATGTACACTTTTCGCGTCTCCATTGACGCGGAGTCTCTTGCGCACGAATTTTCGTGTTCTAATGCCCCTCATCAGAATTACAGAGGCCGCATGCATGCGGCATGTGCGTGCTATGCAACTTTGAGGCTCCAATAGGCGTCATTCTAAAGTAAGGTGTCTATCTTATGGTCTACACTCCCACCGACTGCAACCTGAACGCTGTCGAAGATATGTTCTACCAGCCATTCCCTTCACTAATACGGGTAGTAATATTTGCTGTTATGAAGGTTTGTACTTCAGGGACCAGTGGTTATTCGACGAAGGCAAGTTATTAAAATGACAACACATTACTCACAAGTTGCCTCAATATAGGTATTGTTCATTCCTTTCCATTAATTGACGACGTTTTTTGAACCGATAAGGGTTCCCGACCGGACAAGGCCGAAAGGACAAGGCGTCTTCTGCCTTGTAACCCGGTGGTCACAGGTTCGAGCCTGTGTATGGATACGGTCAATCGTCGCAGTATTCTTAGACCACACGCGACTGACTGGGTTTGTATGGCAGCGAAGGCTCAATACGGCGTACCGTCGTACTGCTGACGTTTCATTTTTCCGTTGAACGAACAACGATAAACTCACTGTTGCGCACATAAACGTCAACCATTCAGCGGATCCGCGTATACGGATGACCATACATTATCTGCGTCCGATGGTGGATTTCCTTTGGTCCACTTCCAATAGGATATTTGGTTTGCTTCCCCCATCTATTCATTAACCCGGACAGGATATTCCCACCACAGCTGCATCCAACATCAGAGTTATTTTGTCGACTATCAGCTACAGAACATCGTGATACTGACAAAAACGACTACTTTCCTAACCTATGCACTGCAGACAACCTGTGTATCAGCAACAAAGCTTGCCCTGTACCCT